GGATATTGTAATATTGACTTAATTACTACTATAAGTAGTTTATAGTTTTGTTTTGTAATTAAATTACTGATCAGATAAATAATGAAAGAAAACTTTATTACATTTACTATAAATACAGTGGACCCTCGGTATACAACCTTAATCGGTTCCTGATGTTTGGACTTATACCGAATAGGACTTATACTAAACCAACCTTTCCCATAAGAAGTAATGTAAAAATGATTAATCCGTTCTCATTTAAAAAAAAAATGGCTGGCTTTAAACATCTCACTTTCCTGGCTAGTCCCTGTTTGATTTTTCTTGAGATCAGCATGTATCTTTTTAGCTTTCTCGCAAATAATTGCTTCTGATACGCAGTCACCAGCACACTGTTTTTGTTATCCAAAGCAAGAGCAATTTCTCACATGATCTAATGTCTTCGATCTCTGTTTAGAAATTGATTTAACCCCTTTCGCAATGTTAGCAGATTTAATAATGTCTTTATTTTTCACGATTGTCGATATCATTGTTCTCGGAATACGGTATGCAACAGTTAAATCTCGAACATGCAGGCCACCTTCATATTTCTCAATAATCTCTTTTTTCAGTTCCATTGTGATTCTAGCCATGTTTTTAGTTTTCTGTTGCTTTTTATTTGCCTTTTTGCAATTCATGATCACAGTAATACCCCGAACTTAACGCAATAGGTGGGACCACGCGATAACCGCGTAAGTCAAATTCGCGTAACTTGGGGTATAATTTCACAAATTGTGTAAAATCCAAGTCAGATGTATGTAAGCTAATAAATGTTTTCGTTAATCTTATCTCGTCTTTTGATTCGTTCACGGTTACAAGAAATCACCATATAGAGTCTCTCAAGTCTCCATAGATATAACAAACACAGAAATAAATAACACAAATTGTAGCTATGTGTCGATTCCGCGCTACACGTCTGAACATGTAAGCTGAACAATAGTGTGGGGGGAGTGAGTAATCAGAAGTTGTATGGCGCTCAAACAAAAGACGAATCGACAAGATTTGAAAATCACGTAACTCCGGGTTCGCGTAAGTTGGGGTAGCGTAAGTTGAGGTATTACTGTAATAAAAATAATAAAATTTTATTTACAAATTAAAATCATAAGAAATTTAACAAAGTTATAAACCGTGGCACCGCGAACGTCTAGTCTGGCCTGGCCTAGTACACCGATAGTGCTACTTGTTCATGGATGGCACATATAATTGAATTAAGTTGTATACCGAGCAAAATTTGTTTCATCCAAACAGGACGTATTCTGAATTGGACATATTCTAAAGCAGACGTATACCGAGGTACCACTGTAATTTATTAAACTTTGTGCCTTAGAGCACTGATAACTCTTGCAAGGTATTTGACATTGAACAAAGATAACAGTATCACTCCTGGTATAGAAAAGTTATTTAGAATTCTTTTAGAGTTTCCTTCTAAAAATGTTGGTGTTCATTAAGAATTATTTTTTAGAATAACTAACACTACTACACATAGATCCTAAATATTAAAACTAGACTGAAAATGTTGATTTTGCTAATAAGTAAAATCTCATACTACATAGCTTCTAATTATTTTGAAGAATATACTTTGAATCATAATTATAAATCAAATTGCAAAAATTAAAAATTAGTCTAGTCTTATGCTCTCTCATATTTAACATTTAATTGGAAACTATTTTTATGAATTGATGTTAGTAGTCATTTTGATTTTCCTCTTCATTTATACAAAAAAAAAATCCAGCAATGAGTTGCTAAACTTTCCTGACAATGTTTAAATCTGCTTGTGTGGTACCATCTGTTATGATTAGAGCTGAAAGTTTTTGCCAGATTTTGGGCCTAAAATCGCGGTGAAAACCGCCAATTTTTTGTCTTAAATTCACCCAAAAAAATAGCCAGTTATTTATTTCAAAAATGAGTTAAAACGAATTACACTTAGATATTTCAAATGATCCTCGCTTAAACTATGACGTCGATCGCTCAATATCGATGAATACAATGAGAATGAATGTTCGACGTCGAATGCAACTAAAGGAGCGTATTCACTATTAAGTTTATCACTTAAATTCATATCAAAAGACATAAATTTGATAAGATCAGTATTACTTGACAAAACTTTTTCCAATTTTTGAGAAAATATAGGATAGCCAGAAACAATTTCTTTTGCATTTTCAAGTAATTTGGCTTGTTCAGCTACACCGAGTCCTTGTTCTTCCAGTGATGATATAATATTTGATAGCTTGACAAGATTACAGAGATCAAATAATTCTTTATTGAGATTAACTTTTTTCTCTTGCAATAGTTTCACCAAAACGTTTCTAGCATTTGAATGAGATTTTTGTTTATAGTTCAAAGTGAAGCGCTCAACAGTATCAAAATTATCGACATAGTATTTTGCAGCATTTAACTGAAATCCCCAGCGAGTGATAATTGGTTCTGGAGGAAGATTACTAACTCCAGTTGCATTCTTAAAATCATTTTCTCTTTCTCTTGACTTCACAAAAAACTTATTCATTTCTAATATAAGCGAATTTGTTAATTTGTACTCATTCTGAATCCTAAATGCAACGTTATGTAAGGCGTGAGCGAGACACGTGACGTGATGTACATTTGAAAAAATCAATGAATTTTTCTTAATCTCACTTACTGCCTTCATCATGTATTTTGCTCGATCTGTCACTATTAACTTCAGTTTTGAATATTTTAAATCATTTGGCCACAATTTTCTAGACACATTGAGTATACATTCTTGTATTATAATGTTGTCAACTGTTGAGTGAAATGTCACATCAATTAACATTGATTTTGCTTTCTCGCCATTCAATTTTCCTACAAGCACGTTGACCACTTTACGTTGCACTTTGTCACTAGTTTCGTCAACAATGAAATAGACATCGTGTCCATTAATTTCGTCCTTAATTTTTTCTGTTACTGAGTTGAAGATAGTTTTTTGATGTGCCCGCAGTGCTAAAAAAA